GGTGGTGAAAAGTGAATGTATATTCTTCTAAGGATAATATAATGCGGCTGCATCATTATTTCGAATCGTTAACGGGCATAATTACGAAAGTAATTATTTTTGATGGGTCGTGAAATAATTAGTGGAGGAAGGCTATTTCGCTATTTTCTAGGCTTTCGTTAAACATAAAAGCTTAATAGCTTTCAGTGAAACGAAACTAGCTACAGTATCACAAAATTTCATAACACTTTAAAGCAATTTAACGCTAAATAGTTTGAGCATCTACTAAAATACTTCATTATTTTGTATAAACTTTCCAATTCAAGTTATACCATAGGTATGAGGAAGACAGTACTCAAAGTGAAGAGTAAAGCCGCAAATAAAAAAGCGGCAATACATAGTTCTTTACAATTGCCGCTGCATTACCTCCAGTACGTACAATGATTGATAAATGACAACTCTTGTCTCGGTTTGCTTCTTCCATTGTCACTTGCGCCTATTAGTGAGATCCGCTTGGCAAATTGGGATTTTTGAGGGGTAGAGAGGAGTTAAAGAACGAGATCTTTTTGATGGCTTGTCATAGGTTGAGTCACTTTTTTTACATAAACTAATTTTTTGACATAAAAAGTATAAAGCTACTGACACTGAAAGGAGCACTCATAAACCTTTGAGAGCTAACAAAAACATATGAAAAGGCATTTGTGAAGATATAAAAGTATAAGACTGGGAGATGGTGGTCCAACTCACAGCTACGATGTATAAGTTTAATAGTGAAATGACATAAAAGTATCGAATGATATGTTGAAGTGAAGCGAAAGCATCGAACGATGTATTGGAAGGATCCTTGGCGAAAGAAAACAATGAGCTAATCTCAATATCAATCCCTCCCAATGTGAATTGCAGCTGCGTTAGAGAAACATCCCCGGCGTTGAGGAATTAAGATTTATATGGCGCCAAATCGGTCAACTTTTACGTCTGTCTACGGGTGGTCCAACAAAACAGTATACTGATTGTTGTTGGCCTAAACAATTTGAACCACTAAAATCTTCTACGAAATAAGCAGGAGATGAGGTGGCGATTACTACCATCATGATGAAAAGCTTCATCAACGAGCACACACCACACACATACACACATACCACGTATATTGAAGATGGGAAGAAACGGTGAGCGATGGCCTCATTACCATATTCAATCTCAGCTGTTTTCCGGTAAAGACTATTCGTCTGCTACCGCTTAATTAGCATACGCTTTTCTGATGCTTAGTCGGCTACTTTGATTGCTTTGTAACGAGATCATCTTTCGATGCGTTAATCGTTGTTGAATGACTCAAATCTTCGTGAGAAAAACACTTAAGATGATGCAGCAGTTCTCGAGATGATAGCTTTGTTCTTCTTTGTAATTAGAAAAGATGGGTTGGAAGTTACATTAGAAAGATCCTAACTTTCGTTTACCACATATTGAGCAGTTGAACAGCTGCATACTTCATTACTGACACAGGTAAAAGGTGCTAATTGAATTTGGGGAAGGAGAAAAAGGTAGCTTCATCTTGTACAAGAATGACAGCCTTACCCTTCATATGTAGGTAATGAAGGAATGATGAAAATGGCTTAATAAGATATGACTGAAAACGATTAAATTGGGAGCATCGCAATCAAAATCAGATTTTTGTCTCTAAAATTATTGATCCTCGTAAGAGAAATCCTATGCTTTTCGGGTTTTCTTTTTCGGTAAAATTAGAAGAATGCAGACAGCCCACTTTCCAAACTTTGTCATTACTTATCCGTACAAAAGATTCACGACAACTAGAGCAATTTCTGGAAGAAAATGTTTATTAATAGCCACGCTTTTACAAATGGGGGTGACGTTTATCACATAGTTTATAGGATAGAAGCTGTTTGGAATGAAGATTTGTGAAAAGCAGGTAATGAAAGCGTAGCAATTACAGAAAGCTAGTGCATGTCTCGTTGTTGAAAGCTACGGTATCCCCGGAGAAAGCATTATATCGTGGCAGGCGAATTGATTTCGCTATCCAAGCGACAGAAGTTTGTGCGCTAATTGCCGTCGGCAGCAAGACAACGGACAATTGATCAGAGCACAGTTTAAAGTTTGTTTAACGTGGACAGACTTGAGGGATGGGCGGCATCTGTCGCTTTTTGGTGAATCGTGAACTTTTAATTAGGCTCAAGCATCAAATGCAACTCTCAACACATACTACGATATTTCGTAGACCAAAAAAAAGAAGTTCAAACAACAATTTGAGCAAATCCTCTTGACGAATTAGTTAAAGATGATCTGCTCAGCTATTTGCACATGGCAAATCTAAAGATTTATCATAATTCTGAGATGCTGTTCGCGATTACAAGATAATTATGGATGAACATGCCAAAGGAGCCAGACTGTCACAGGCGCTCACCAACTCAATCACGATAACATCTTGTATAAGTCCAAAAATTGGCATCTACACCTTGATCAGAGTTAATTTTCTTGTCAAGAAATACTCACAACGCTGAGAAATTATAGT